CCAGGTCCATGGAAAAATAAAACCAGTCCTTGGGGCCCAAAAGGTTGGGGATCACTATACTGGACAGTATCTCTTTGACAAATTAGCTCTTCCCCCTGTTCTCATCATTTGCACAACAGTAAGAAAAACCTCTGATACATCAATCCCTAGAAATTCCAGCAAATAAAATTCTCATCCACCTGTCATACTAATATCTCTGTCATTTTTGTTTGTCTATCAGATGTGGTCAATATGGGATTCTGATTTTGAATGATTCCAGTCCAGAGATCATGAGTAAAATTCCCTTTGTAAAAGTGTCATTGAAGAGTGTCCTTAAGGTGGAGATGGAGGACAGTATGATCATTTGCTGTTTCGCAGTTAATAGTGCTGGAAATGACTCCCGTCCCCTTACATTTTATGTTGATAAGGTTACTGGTAAGATAAATCTAAACATTCATTTGATTAAAAAATTAGTTTTCCTGAGGCATTTCAGTAATTTCTCAATGTAATTCTAACTATGTGATTTCATCTCCATCTTGTTTTTTTTTTTAAAAAAAATCTTACCATTTTTCCATTCACTTAAAGCGAATATTTACTGCAAAAATTTGAGGGGGTTTGAGAAAATTAAACAAGAGTAGTAAATGTATTCAAAAATTCAAATGTACAAAAAAAATTAAAGAAAAAAAAGAATCCAAAAAGGGATGGATTTCTACTTGAAACTTAAACATTTCAATTCTTGTGATTGTTTTGTTTTTTGGGTAATTTACAGGAACAAAACTATTGGATGTTTTTAGCAATAAATGCACATTTTCCACCTCTGGTTTCTGCTCTCCAGGCTAGTTTTTCATCTTTTTATAATGGACTAGTATTTTCAAAACTTGGGGGAAGAGCTACGTGGTGGATGAATATTTAATTCCACCTTCCTCAACTGTTTTGGAAAATACATCTTGCCACCATCGCAAATACGTCTTACTACCTTATTTTATTGCACCAAAAGGAGTAGGAAGTCAATTATTTTCTTTTTCTTTTCTCCCTTGTCATACACTTTTCTCTCTTCTCTTTTCCTCCCTTGTTTTTCCCTTATTTTCATTTTCTTGCATTTTATATTTTGATAAACTAATAAAAATACTATAAAAAAAGGAGAGGGGGCGTTGTATTACCTGAACGCCTTTTCTCAGCATGATGATGGAGAGTTTTAGACTTAGTCTTATTGGAGCAGGAAGATTAAGACAACCCATTTGTGGATTCTCCATCCAATCATGCTGGAGAATACATCTCATCATCCCCACCAATCTGTGAATTATTGTCCAAAATACCTGGATAAATTTTCAGCATGAATTAACTCAATACCATTCATAAAGATACAAAGCACGAAGGGCAGGTACTACAAATTTAAGAGTCCTTTGATTCACACATCATGGCAAATGATGATTTGTTCAATTAACCACAATAGTCTGGGTTAGCACAACACGCTGTGGCAGAAACCAATCAACTGCCTCACAGCTGAGTTTACTTTGCAAACTCAGCAATATTTCAAACTGCTAGAAAAAAATTGTGGTGCATGCTATTGTCATGTTGTGATTATATTTAACTTAGTTTGACAAACGACCACAGAACCTGCTCCCGTTAGTCTCAAGGAGGTTGGAACTCCCTGCAATTGTTCTCTTCCTTCTGCATTTTGTTTTTCCAGGAAATAAAAATGAAACCCCCAAACTACTTATTGCAGTCTTTGGAGGGGCGATGGGTTTTCTTCTTCTGTGTATCGTCTTCTTAATCTATAAATATAAGCAGGTAAGCTTTTATATTTATGTATGGAAGGAAAAATAATCAAAAATTGCCCAAGAAACCAAAGAAGCTCTGAAACTCAAATGGCTGGTGTCATTTGGATATGTTTTGAACCACAATCTCCATCATCCCCAATGAATATGGAAGCTGGGTGATCATGGGACTTGCAATTGAGAGAAATAATGTTACTTAGAAAGCACACATATACCAATAGGCTGAAGAAAAGAAAAAACAGAATTTCTCAATACGTTTCTTTCCACCACCTCCCCAAAAGGGGGAAAGGAAGAAATATATTCTGTGTGAAACTCAATTAAAACAAACAACCCCCTTAAGACTACAATATAGACAGTTATTAATACAATACCAGAAGTAAAATGCATAGAATGGCATGTTTGCGGTAAAACAGGTTTTACCAAAACCGGCTTAATTTCTTTCACATGTAGTCCTTGCTTAACAACCACAATTGGCCCTGGGATTTTGGTCATAAGTCAGGTCACTTGTTAAGCAGGTCACATGTGACCTAACTCTATTTTCTGATCATTTTTTCCAATGGTCGTAAAGTGAGTCACCATAATTCACAAAAAGGTCACAAATCACAGTCATGTGACCATGTGACTCTGCAAACAGTTGTAAATGGGAGCTTGTTGCCAAGCACCCAAAAAGTGGTCCTATGACTGTAGGAGGTAGCATGACATTTTAGGCTGCTGGAAGTGCTTTACAAATCATAAAACACCCTTTTGGAGGCTGTCGTAACTTCAAACGGTCATTAAGCAACTGGTTGTTAAGTGAGGAGTATCTGTATATTTATTCTGGGAATCTAAAATCTCACTGCTACCCCCACAAATGATGAAATGTGGGAGAGATTCTTCTGATAGTATTTTCTCTCTCACCTCTTTTCCTGTAGTGCAGTATCTTAGGTAGAGAGAGCAGGGAATAAGGACCAATTCTTCAGGAACAATTTTAATTTTATTTGTTTTAATCTATGAAGTGATATTACATTGTTGAACAGATATTGTGAATCATCATCCAGGTCATAGTTATCCCAAAGATGCTTTTTCACAAGGCAAATGGACTTTCTTGTTTTTCTTTGAAGTTGTTTCGCTTCTCATCCAAGAGGCTTCTTCAGCTCTGACTGGATGCTGGGGAATGGAAAGATTTATACTCCTACAGACAGTTGTTCATTTGCATTCTTTTAGCGAGTAGTTAAAGCTGCCTGGAGGCTTACCTGTGTCTTCATAGTCACCTGAGTAGTGCAAATGGGCATGGAGCCTTCTTGGAACTGCTGAAAGGACTGTGTTGTAGACTGGAGATAGATGATGTCGGATCTCTCCCCCTCTGTTGAGAGAGGGCTGTTCAATTTTGACATAGATGGTCTCTTTGACCCCCTCTTTCAAACCAGCAGTCCTCCCTGTCCAAAATGTGGACTTTGCTGTCTTTGAAAGAATGGCCTTTGTCTTTTAAATGCAGATGGACTGCTGACTCTTGTCCTGATCGGTTTGTTCTCCTATGTTGTGCCATACGTTTATAAAGTTGTTGTTTCATTTCCCCAATGTACAGATCTGCACACGGCTCACTGCATTGTACTGCATATACCACGTTCCTCAGTTTGTGTCTGGGTGTTTTATCTTTAGGGTGGACCAGCTTCTGCCTTAGTGTATTCTTAGCTTTGAAGTGTGTACATATGTTTGTTGGTTGAAGATCCTCCTGAACTTTTCCGATATTCCTGCAACATATGGAATGACTACATTGCTTTGTTTATTGTTTTCTTCTTTGTCTATTACGGAGGAGCTCCTGCTAAGTCTTTTTTGTCCCTGGAGACACAGATAAGCCTCCAGGCAGCTTTAACTACTCGCTAAAAGAATGCAAATGAACAACTGTCTGCAGGAGTATAAATCTTTCCATTCCCCAGCATCCAGTCAGAGCTGAAGAAGCTTCTTGGATGAGAAGCGAAACATCTTCAAAGAAAAACAAGAAAGTCCATTTGCCTCGTAAAAAAGCATCTTTGGGATAACTATGACCTGGATGACTGAGAATCTCCATAGGCATTGTGAATATATGTTGTGTTTGTTTAAAGTACAGCACTATGTCCTAGTTTTGTAAGCTGCCCAGAGTTATTCTGCGGTAAGACAGCCAGCTGATGAGTTTGGTAAACAAATAATTTACAGAATAATAACTTAGTTTTCACAAAACTCACCTATGTCTTTTTTTCAATATAATTATTATCTCTTGTTTTTCTTTTCCTCCCTTTTTCCTTTTATGGGCATCTTTCTTTCTCAGTTCTTGTCCTATGTCTTAACTTACTACTTCTCCTTTTTTAATAAGGAAATGCTCTATTAATTCTTTATTCACCTTTTAATGCAACAATCTGTCATTTTATTAGATTACCATAATACGATCAGGTTGTATAAGCACAATATCAAAATACTGTGAAACAACATATGCTTCCTAAATAATTTCTCTTCTCAGAAACCAAAATATCAAGTCCACTGGAAGATTATTGAAGCCTGTGAAGGAAACAATTACATCTTTATTGACCCCACCCAGCTTCCTTACAATGAGAAATGGGAATTTCCTAGAAACAATCTGCAATTTGGTGAGGACCACCTCTAAATTTTTATCTCTAACCAAAAGTTCATTTCACCCTATTAGCAGATTAGATACTGAAATTATACAACAGTATGAAAATATCTAATTGTTGAATAGGTTTATAGCATTATTCTTGTTGAAAATGTTGAGGTTTTATAGAAGCAGAAAAATGATGCCAAATAAAAATTAACTCTTGAATCCAAAAGTAAATCCAAAAGTAAATATACATACATACATACATACATACATACATACATACATACATACATGCATGCATACATACTGTACATACATACACACACACATACCATTGGAATGTTTTTGGGTTTTTTAAAAAAATGTTCAGATTGTATAACCAAAGCTAGCCATAATGGAAAAATAGAACTGGCTTTTGAAAATCTCACCTTGGCCATATTGACTTACTCACTATTAAGAGACTCTGCTAAAAATCTTTTCAAGATCATGCTTTCAAGCATATACTCTCACCCACACGTAGAGAGAATTAAAATCCTGTTTATTCTGTTGTGTTTCCCCATTTATTATTTATTTATTAAATTTGTGTTCTGCCCATTTCATCTAGAAGCCACTGTGTGAGGTTTACAAGCATCAAAACCACTAAACGTTCAAAGGGATAAGACAATAAATAACAATAATAATTTATCATTAAAAGATGGGGAGGAAAAGAGAATACAAAGAACACGAGAGAGGTGGTGTCTTCTAATCTAATAGCCACCTCCAGAGTAATACCCCCTTGTTGGGGCCCCAGGCCAACTGGCAAAGCCAAGTCTTAAGGACTTAGTAGAAGGTCAGGAGGATGTGTGAGGATATCACCTCGGGGATAGGGGGGGTAAGATGTTCCAAAGGTCAGGAGCCATGGCTGAAAAGGCTCTTCTCCTAGACCCCACCGGCTGAAATTCCTTGGCTGCTGAAGTCTGCAGCATGTCCCTTCTGCTGGCACAAGTGGGGCCAGCCAATCTCAGTGAGAAAATTCTTCAGATAGCCTGAATCCATAACATGCACTGCTTTAAATGTGATAACCAATACCTTGAATTGCACCCAGAAGCAAACCAGCAGTCAGTGCAGCTCATGGAACAGCAGTATAACATGGGCCAACTTAGGCGCCCTAAGAATTGCCTGTGCCACTGCATTCTACAACAGTTGTGGCTTTCCAATACTCTTCAAGGGTAGCCCCATGTAGAGTGCATTTGTAATAGTCCAACTACGTCAATTAATACCCTAAATGACAACAAGATAAAGGGCTTTTTTTAAAATCACTTCTTGAAAGTGCTGAAGGAAGCATTCTGATTCTTGGACATGTGGTTTTTTCCCCTATAAACATGGATAACTCTGCTTTTATCTAAAAGTATTTTTGTTCATTTGAAATTGTCTCTGACCTCAGAGCTATAATAAATGTTGAAATTTGAAATCATTTGAAATGTTTTTTCATGCTTACAAGTCTGCAGAAGATGAATTGTGGCTCCAACTTCTTTTACATGGATACGGGGTATTTTTAAAAACACAAGAAGCCAAGGTCATGAATATTTATGACAGAAATCTACTTATATGAGGAAAGAGACAGGAAAAGGCTGCCTCCTTTCTCCTTCCTTATTTTGATTGGCATTAAAGTCTCTGGCAACGAAGGTATGCCAAGAAGAAAAAACTGGAATTAAATTGGAAACTCAGAAACTGAAATAATACACTATTGATGTTGTACTTTATATTGCTCAGCCAAATGTTATGTGTTAAAATTGATGACAGAATACATATAGCAATATATTTCAATATCAGATTATTTGATCAATAAGGGCAAAAGTTGACATGGAAAAATGCAGTATTTGTATCAAGTAACAGGATTTAGTCCCAATACTAAAATAATTAAATACATGGGAAATTACTAATAAAACTAATAAAGGTTAAATTTGACTAAATTTGAAGATCTTATAATACAGAGTATTTGCTGGGCCTTATATAGAAATTGTTGGTGAAATATAACCCAGACACCAAACAAGTTAAAGACTGTATAATCAAATAGTGCAGAATTTGGTACAATAACTAATAGGCAACAGTGGCAAATTCAATTGAAGAATAATATTAAATTCACGTGGAATATTCTAGTTAGAGAAAACTGGTATGTTTAACTTGTTTTAATGCTCCTGTACTGATTGCTAAAATGGACCATTCATTTCCTGAAAAAAGTTTTTTATAAAAACCTGATCAAATCCTTTTTCCATATTTGGTAGAAATCTTGTAAAGCTCAACAAAAGTTCCTTTCCAATCTATTTGTCTATTAAATGTTATTATTGTACATGGTACTTTTCCATAAATTATATAGAATTAAATCTTCACCTGTTTTTTTTAAATAATTCTATGATGCCTGTAAATTTCTTGTTTATCTACTTTGTGCTTGTCCACCCCCTTTTTTAATTTTTTCTGTTTTCTTTGTGTATGTTTTTCTTTACTTTTCCTGTTCTTAAATATGCATCATTAAAACTACTGCATATGATTGCATATTTTTAAAATTAATTTTAATAAAAATTAAAAAGACAGTATTTTCTTCACAGGAAAAGTCCTTGGAGCTGGAGCTTTTGGGAAGGTGATTGAAGCTACAGCTTTTGGGCTGGGAAAGGAGGATTCTGTCTTGAAAGTGGCAGTGAAAATGCTGAAATGTAAGTAGCAGATCAGACCAGCTCCTAGGAACCAGATAGGCTTTTTTTTCTCTTTTCTCTTTGGCCCTACCAATTTTAATTTTTTCATATTTACTAAGAATTTTTTTTTATTTCTATCTATGGCACTACCCAGTTCAATTCTTTATTTATATTTACTAAGATTTTTTCTTTTTTCTATATGTTTTCTCTTCAGCCTTACTTATTGCATTTTTAATGTATATTTACTAAATATAACAACAACAACAACAACAACAACAATAATAATAATAATAATAATAATAATAATAATAATAATAATAATAATAATAATAATAATAATAATAATAATAATAATAATAAAGTTGGAAGGGACCTTGGAGGTCATCGATACTAAAGTTTCCTTTTTCTTTTTTCATGCACTTTTCTTTTTTATTTTGATTTGTCTTTTAACATATGAATGTTAACCAAAGTTTCCTTTTTCCTAAGAAATTTATAAGTGACTTTGACCTTCTTTGCAACAGATTATTACACTCTTATTGCCTTAAATATTTTACAACACCACTACCCCCTTTTGGTCCACATCTTTTTTAATCTTCAAATCCATACATCATCAATTCGTTTTTCCTCTTTCAGCAAATATATAAGGTTTTCAGTCTTTCAAAAAAAACCATTTTTGTTGTTTGTTCTCTGAGCAAACAGATCATTCTTGCCACTTCTGCAAGTTCTGACGCTTTCACAATCCATTCCTCCACCGTGGGAATCTCATTTTTCATCCATTGTTTGATCCACCCACTTCAATGACTCAGAGAGAAAGCCACAGAAGAATATTTGGGAAGTATGTATCCCTGTTGTAATGTATGTGGATTCCCACAGTCACTCTTTCCCAACCATTACTGTTGCAGAAGTGGGCTTCTACACTAGCTAATCATTGCAACTGAATGATTCTAACCTGGAGCCTTTCCATCATCTGGTGCTTTCATTTCAGGTGTCGCGTCTATTTCCTATATCCTGCTCCCATATTTGAGTTCAAATTAATTGTTCTCATGTTGGATTTCAGCAACTGCGCATACAGATGAGCAAGAAGCTCTTATGTCTGAGCTGAAAATCATGAGCCATTTGGGTCACCATGAGAATATTGTCAATCTTCTAGGAGCATGTACTCATGGAGGTAATTATTCTTCTCTTCATTTCCTTTCTGGTTTGCAGAAATATTGTTTCCTTTCCTTTCTATCATTGGTTGAATCATAGGTTTCCAAGTAAAGATGTCAGTCACTACTTCAATAAATATTTGTTTGAAAATATCAGATTCCCATCAAACTATAAATGCTGAATTAAATGATTTAATTCAGGAACTTAAAACATATAGCATACCAGAAATTGAACTCAGCTTGAGAGATCCTTTATTTTTATATTCTCCTTCAGAGCTGTCTCAGTTGAATGAATAAGAGAGATTAAAAAATAATTCCACCTTCACATTTTGAAGTTGCTAAGGTTGAGAAATACTAGTTTGGTGGATCCTATTCTAAATAAAGGATAGAAGTAGATGACCCATAAGTCATTCTAACTATGTGATTCTTTCAATGGACAGCACACTTCACTGATCAATGCTGTTGTGTAGCAGAAATATGATTGACCTTTCAAGTAATGTTTCTTTTTTGTTTTCTAGGCCCTGTCCTTGTAATTACTGAGTTCTGTCCATTTGGGGACTTGCTGAATTTCCTGAGAGAAAAAGCTGAGCATCTCATAATCGAGGGTCTAAACTTGGAATCCACTCTTGATAGCATGATGGCCGATTACAAAAACATCTACCTTGGAAAAAAGTATGTCCAAAGAAGGTAATAAGTTAGTCATCAGTGACCTCCACTTATATGGAGTGTAAAACTGTGTTAACAGTTTGTTAATACAGCTGACATTGAGTGACAGCATATTTAAGTGTGCAAAAAGTCACTCTGGAGAATGAGATGGATGGCATATACATTTAATTAATTAAAATAGCAAGAAATTATTCTGTTGCAATCCCCAGTAGAGACTCCAATTTCTATTTTAAGACAGATATGAGGGTATTCTGTAGTTCTAGGCCCACGTGTAAAACCCAAATCTCCCTTTTTGATGCTGGAGATCATTCCAACCATAACTGACAAAAATCTCCTACACCGTTCCCCAACATTTTAAGTCAAGAAACACATGGAAATTCTAGCCTAAACTTGACTATGTACAATTCAGAAATAGTCCTTTACTTACTCCAGGGATGAGGGAGAAACTCTTGCTTGTCCCTGTGTGTGAAACTGGTTTATTCACTTCCTCAGTAGACTTTCTAGAATTAAACCAAAATTTATTGACTATTTGGCGGGATAAATCTGCTCTTAAAACTGATAAAAACTATTAATGGTTTTTTTCCTCTGTTGATCTCTTTCATTCAGCGATAGTGGATTTGGATGCCAAAGTGTTGACAGTTACTTGGAAATGAAATCGGTCACCACATCAGTGCCTATGCCAGCACAAGGTAATGCTCAAAGATCACTGCCAAGAGAAATGGAAAGACATAACGAAAAGGAATATGTCTGTTCTAGAAATTTAGCAACATTATTAATATTTTAGCTAAATTGCTGTTTGTTTATTACTATGCATTTCTCTCTTTGGAGAACTCAGTGCAACCTGGCCTACTTATCTTCATAATGGTTATGTAAGGTAGGCTTAACTGGCTGAAAGTTGTTTCTGGCCAGGATCTAATCAGCCAACCAGAAGTTCAGATGTAAACCCCACACTCCCAATTATACCAATGTCTTCTCACTACTGCTGCCAATGATCCCACTGTCTCCCAATCTTCCCAATATCTTCCTGCTGATGCTATCAATCTTTCATCCAGCCTACTCTGATCTTTCTAGGGTCTTCTGGCTACTTCTAACACACTTCCTGCCAGTTTGTCTCCTCATCTTCAGTTCCAAAAATTTTATGTATTATTTTATTCAGCATAGAACAACAAAAGATTAGATATAATTCAGGAAAAAAATGTGAATCTACTAGATTAAATAGATTAAATATCATGCCTGTCTCGGTGACTAGAGACCCTCTTAGCCATCTCAAGGTTTATTTTGTTGTTGTTAATTGCGAAGTCGTGTCTGACCCATCGCGACCCCATGGACAACGTTCCTCCAGGTCTTCCTGTCCTCTACCATCTTCTGGAGTCCATTTAAGTTCACGCCTACTGCTTCAGTGACTCCATCCAGCCACCTCATTCTCCGTCATCCCCTTCTTCTATTGCCCTCAATCTTTCCCAGCATTAGGCCCTTCTCCTAAGATTTATTAGCTGAACTCAAAAAAAATATTCTGATTTCCGAATAACTCTTTGTAAAACATAAAGATATTTCATGAGCTTGTCAAGAGAAAACTCCCCATATTTAAATGTATGAAATTCAGCACAATGTATTTTTAAAATCTGGAAATAAGAAATTAAGTTAAACACTAATTTTATTACAAATTTAGTAATTTAGTTCACTTAATACCACACTCTGCACAAGATCTAATATACTAGGACTCTACTCTGATTTGACCAGAATAACAGAATAACAGAGTTGGAAGGGACCTTGGACGTCTTTTAGTCTAACCCCTTGCTCAAGCAGGAAACCCTATACCATTTCAGACAAATCCAAACTCAGCTGAATCATTTGAGACAGGACAGATTTCTCTAATTCAAATCCTGTCCCTAATTCAAATTCTTCTGCAGAATTTGGTCTTAGGTGAATCAATTGTGAACTCTGCAGACTGAAAAGAGCAGCAATGTCTTTTTAAAATATATATATATATATAATACTATGGGGCTTGCTTGTGTTTGCCTTTGGAGAAAGGCAAATTCGATGCAGGGATGATAATTATGTCCCCAGCTGCCACTTTTTTGGATTAGTAACAAAACTATGGAAGTTGGACAGCCAGAAATGCATTTATTTGCTGTTCTGGCACTCACCACTTCATTATTATCCAGACACTGTATCTGAATAGTTCAGTTGCTGTGTGGTGATGTCTCCCTTACAAGGGATCTTTTTAAAGAAGATCCTTCAGTTTGTCTATCCAACTCTCCATTCCCTTTTTTTCTTCCTAGTTCTTCCCTTACACAATATATTATTTTACAACCTTTTTTGTTCTTTAATTATGTATCAATTGAACTAAGTTTTACTTACTCATTCTGCCTCATTGCTCCTTCCTGCAAATATTTTATAAATTAGCACCTATCTAAACTGTAAATACACCATAGGTCTGTGTATTTAAATTCTCCTTCCCCTTCCTTTTTCCTTTTGCCTTATAAGCAATGTTCCCTCACAGCATAAGGTTTTTATAGAACGGCTCCTGCTGGTGGCCCATTCATTGTGGGTTTTGGCCAAGGACCCTTATTAGTGGAATGGCAAGCACTGGATAAATATGTGCCATCTGGAGAACTCTTAAAGCATTACATTTGTCTTCCAAACCATGCCAGTTTGGCTGTTCTCTGTTTGGAACACTAAAAGTAGCCTCCTATTCTGAATGATTTACTTCTGGAAATTTTTCAGGCCAGCCAACTCAGTGTGATCCAGGAAAAAGGGAACATTTCATCTCTGGGATGACTGGGAAGTTTAATACATAGCTACTACCTATAATTGCAATTGCTAAATATTCCCAGTAATGGACACATAATAATATGTGCATACGTTGTACAACAATAATACAACAGATATAGATGTTAAAGTTATATTGCCATGAATAAAGCTCGTGCATTGTTGCAATGTTCTTTGTACAGCTATACTTAAATTCCTCAATTACAGACGTGACATAGATTTCAATGTGCACAGGATCTGCATTAGATCATTGCTCTCAAAGTGCTATCAGAAAAGCCAGAACTGGACATGATCCTTCTATATATGCTGGGGGAGGGAGTGGGGAGTATTTTATTACTTCCTTTTTATTTTTATTTTATTTTGTAATATTTATAGATTACGCTATTCAGTCGGTCTTTACTCAGTTCCTCAAGTTTCTTATAGGATCAGCTTGTTTCATGGTGTCTGCATGTATACCTAAAAAAATTGTCGCCATTTTATATGCTGCATTAACTTTAGTGAGATGTTTTCTTAAAGGGGCTGCAACTTTTTTTTCCAGACTCATGCAGAAAACAATGAATAATGACAAGCTGCTTTAATGAAGACTGTTCACACAAAATTGAAAGCGCCTTTTCCAAATTCTTTTTGAAGCATGTGTAACCTTAGCATTTTCATATGGAAGTCATTTTATTTTTTTAATTTATTTATTTATTTATTAAATTTATATCCCGCCCTTCTCCTTGCGGACTCAGGGCGGCTGACAATCGATTTAAAAAACATAAATAACAATTACAGAATTAAAATTAATTAAGAAGAAATATTTAAATTTAGTCTAATTAAAATATGATTAAAACCCCTCTAAAAATTGCCCTAGGCCAGTCCCGCTTGTTGGAATAGCCATGAATTGCATCTTTACCCCTTGCGCCTTTGTCATTGATATTCTTTAATCATCATTCATTAAGGTGTATTTCACAATTAAAGCTGCTTTGGTTGTACAGTATACATTTTCTGGTCAAAAATCCTTTCCAAACATAAAACAGTTCCAATAAAGGAGAATATTTGAAGCTCTGGTTTGAAATGAGGGATCTTTGGTACTCTCTGAGATTGGTTATTTTCTTACAGACATTTCATTACCCAAACTAGGTAACATCATCAATGCTAGCAAACTCAGAAAGCACCAAAGAGCCCTCATAAAGCAGTTTTTTTTTATGTAAAGCCCATAGATAAGCAAAACCAATTTATAGATAGAGCAATTATGGATGAGCAAAGAGAACAGAACTATTAAATCTCCTTCTGCTCAGCAATTTCCAGTTCATTCTTGCAAATGCCTACCACAAATTAATTCCATTAGTTCCTTGGAAGTTACTTATATTTAGTCTCTAGGTAGGTAGGCCTTTGTTATCATGGGTGATTTGAGATGAGTGAATTCTCTCAAGAGAATTATATTTTTTTTACCTTTCTTATTTTAACGTCTTATGCTAAGTTGCCTTCATGGCCCTCTTTGTGGCTATCGTTATCTATCAAAGGCATACCTTCAGTGACCTCTGTGAACTTTCTCCCAATCCAGGAAAAAGTTTGGTACCAGCTGAAGGAAAAGAAGACCCACGTTCTCTTGATCTCTTTGACTTGCTGCAGTTCTCCAACCAAGTAGCTCAGGGAATGACTTTCCTGGCTTCCAAAAATGTGAGGACACTCTCTTGACAATGTATATCATCATCCTAAAAGGAGTTCAGACCCAAGCTTGTTTTCCTGTTATTATCTTCCTACCAGGAAGGAATTTTGTTATTATTACACAGAATAATATACAATCCTATCAGTTCATAGTGCTGTGATTCCTGAGACAATCCATGTGTAATCTAAGAATTTGTTCTTAGGAGAGTATACTACTTGGAAGTATTCTTTTGGATTATATCTTTAAGGCACAACTCTGTATGGCTTTTGAAAAAAATAGGGTCTGTGTGAGAGTGAGTATACAATCCTGTTAAGGATAATATGAACATTGTGTTCTCTCTTTTCTAACCAACATAAAAAGAAGCATTTTGATTGGTTGATTGATTGATTGATTGATTGATTGATTGATAAAAATTATATGGTTGCCCATTTAACATACAAATTTGGGCATCCATTTGAATATGTGTTTGCTTAAATGTTGTAGGAAGCAAGGGGCAATCTGACATAAACTTTAGCTTTAGCAGCAGCCATCCTTTCTCCTTCCGATGGGGGGAGAGAGGAGAACCAGCCTGCCGCTAGCACAAGTTGAGTGGCCCGCTGCTCATATAAGTCGAGTGGCCCCCTGCTTACACAAGTCAAGTTGTGTGTGTGTGCACTGCCCCCCCTGCTCATGCAAATCGAGCTGCATGCATGTGCAAGTGCGCCAACCAGCCCCTCACATGGCCCAGTTGCAAACAGAGCATGGCCCCGTAATGGTCCATGGGCCGGTTTTTGGGGACCGCTGTTATAAATCATGTTGAGAAGAGCACTCTCTTTGGTTCTTTATTACAGTAGAAGTTGTCCAAAAAATTATATTCAACAAAAAATCCAGTGGCTGAGATACAGATTCTGTAAAATGATAGGTCTTTCCCTCTCTTCCTATACAGAGTTTGTACAAGTGTTGTGTAGCTAGGTACCATTGCCTGTATGGTACCCTAATAGCTCTGTCAACCTTTAAATAATGAATGCACTGAGACAGGAAAAGCTGCAAAGTAAAATTTATAAGAAAGGAAAGAACAACCAAGTATATTTGTATTATTTTGATCTTTTAATGTCCACCTCCATTTCAAGAGAAAAATACAATGGAAGAGTTCATAAAAATAACTTTGCAATAGTTAATTCAAGTAGTTGTATTAGCCAAACATATCCACAAATGATTACATCTTTTATAGATATATTGGCACAATCAGTAAGTTGATTTTTTTGTATGAGGTGTCTAAATGGCACTTTTTTTCATTTGTTTTTCTTCTGTAAATTTTCAGGATTCCTATAGCTTCCCCATTATTCTAGATTGCATTAATTCCAGTGACCTAGACCACACAAAAACATTTAAAGTACCATGCTGAAGACTTTTGACTGCCCTTGCACTGGCCAAACTGGACTATATCTGCCTTGCTACTAATCAAGTTGTAGGATCACTAAATTGAAACAAAGAGCCTGTGAGTTCCCATCCTGCCTTAGGTATGAAAGCTGTCTGGGTGATCTTGGGCCAATCACTTTCTCTCTTTGCCCAACCCACCTTACAGGGTTGTTTTTGTGGGGGAAATAAGAGGAGGAATGAGAGTTAGGTATATATGCTGCCTTGAGTTATTATTTTTTTTAAAAAAGGTAAAAATAAATAAGAAGAAAATCAATTTGTCCCTTTCCCCTTTGTTCTCTCTTTCTTGAATCCAGTGCATCCATCGAGATTTGGCAGCACGGAATGTGCTAGTGGCTGATGGACTAGTGGCCAAGATCTGTGACTTCGGCCTGGCCAGAGATATTGTGAACGACAGCAATTATGTTGTCAAAGGCAATGTAAGTAACTGGAATGA